TTTTTTAAAGGATGTCAAAAAAATGAACAAACTGAAAAAATTTTAAATGCCATAAAGCTCTAGTGAAAGGTTAATTTAACTTAATTAAAAATAAAATACTGCATATTTTATTAAGCACTTTCAAATCATTTGCAAAAAAGTTTTGTTTACTAAATATCTCACACATACAGCCATTTTAAGAGGATTGCTTAAGAAGTATCTTTTTCCCCCCGCAAGACTAGGTCTTGCTCTGTCAGCCAGGCTGGAGTGCAGTGATGTGATCATAGCTCACTGTAATCTTGAACTCCTGGGCTCAAATGATCCTCCCATCTTAGTCTGGAAGTAGCTGGGACTGGAGGCATGCATTACAATGCCCAGTTAATTTTTAAATTTTTCGTAGAGATGGGGGGGTCTCCCTAGGTTGCCCAGGCTGGTCTCGAACTACTGGCCTCATGCTGTCCTCCTGCCTCAGCCTCCTAAAGTGCTGGGATTACAGGCATGAGCCACCATGTCCAGCCTTTAATAAACTATCCTTGATGTAAATAAAATGTATAGAATTTCAAACATATATATTTAACCCAAATAGCACTTAAATTAGACTCATATAAATTTAGGCTAGAAAGTAATACTGAATGCTAATTTAAGTGAGATAAAAGAGAAGGAACATCACATAAAATCATATATATGTGGAAAGTATAAAAATATATTTAGAAATATAATTTTTGATTAAGTCTAGTTTGTATATAATTTACATTGTTTCTAGTTTTACACCGTATTTTTTACTTCAATATATTCTTTTAAATACACACACACACACACATATACACATACACCTAAAAGAGAGGGACAATTTTTTAAAGCTCTTAATGTAAATTATTAGGTTGCTTTCCTAAATTTATAATCCTACATGGAATGTATAAAAATGTCTATAAATATTTAAGAAAATCTATACTAATTTGATAGGTAAAATAGTTCCATATTTAAATCTTCATATTGTCAATTATTAATGTTTTAAATATTTTATATAAGGTAGAGATATTTGCATTTTCTTTTCTGTAAATGACCGACTTCTGTCCTTTGAACATTTTTATACTGTGAGCTGAGTATTTTTCTTATTAATTTGCATAAATCAGTTATATTTTGACTTTAAACCTTCATATCAATTGATCTTTTAATTATTAAATGTTTTGATCATTCATTACAACATTAAGAGTTTGCTAACTCTTTAGTTTATCTGGAACTTATTTTAATTATGATACAAAGTGAGAATATAAAATGACTCCCACACCTTAAAGACCACTTATTGAATAATGCATCACTTTCTTCACTGATTTGTGAGGTTTCCTCTCTTACATGTATTACCCTTACACATGAGTTCCATTTTGCTTGAACCCTGTTTTATTGATCTATATCTATTTTTGTACAACTATTTCCAGCCTGCCTAAGCCATTTGCTCTGACAGGCATCATTTAACCAGGACCTTATCATGGCTGGAAATGGCATTGTCTCATAGCACTAACTTAGGCATTCTGCTTTCTATCACCAACAACCTCCTATTCTTTCAGCTTGCTCCCATCTGCTTCTAAGAAAACCCTTTTTCAACTTAAGGAGGATCTTTAGTCTTCAAGACTCTACTACCTCTGTGTCTAGCATTCACACCTCCCGTCTTAACTTCCTTTCATATTCTGGCTTATATTCCCTAGTCTATTATTTCAATTACATTCATTCAACACATCTTCACTGAATGCCTATGATTTCCTGACACTGTACTAAGGCTCTAGAGAGAAAATGGAGATGAGACAGACAAGTTCCCTGACTTCGTGAAGCTGTTATTCTAGTAGGCAGACAGGCAACATAGAAAGTAATAATCATTTCACTTAGGGTCTAGGAAGGAAATAAAAGGACGAGCCAGGAAAGGAACCAAAATGTAGGCCCTCCTTTACAGAGGATTATTAAGGAAGCACTGACTGAGGAGATAATACTTGAAAATGAAGGCAGAAAAGGATCAAGCTAGGAGAAAATATTCTAGCCAGAAGGCATGCAAAAGCAAAGCTCCGTAGTTAGAAAAAGTTTGACATGTTGCTCCACCTGTCTTTGTATTACACTCATTTAGCAAAACTTCGGTCCTGGATGACGTCAAATCTTTGTGCTAACTGTGGAGAAAATTACTTAACAGGGTAAAGGGAAATAATTTTATACTTGAAGGTACCAACTCAATTGAGTCTCCATTTCTCTGGTCAATTTGCTTTACTACGCTCTCTACAACTATTATTTCAAAACTTATCTCTCCTTAAAACTCTCTATCCACCAACTCTCTCTCTCTCAACAAATGAACTCAACTCTTCAGAGAGAAAACAGAAGTTTAAGAAAGGAACTCCCTCAACTCCCAAACTGCCCGCTCCAAACGCACCAGGATGTGTCCCTGTTAAAACAGAGGAGGGTTTCTTCCCCTAATGCTAGTCATTTCTCTTCCCTCTGAAACTTCTCTCCTTCTTCCACTGCAGCAATGTTATTCTGCCCATCTCTCCCTTGTTCACAGCGTTCGATTTCAACCTCTCTGTGCCCATCTGATGAGCATTTACACTCACTTCAACGTGACAGCTTTCAACAAAAAAAGAAAAGATTCTCTAGGTCAGAATTGTACAAAGATTAAATGGGCTGCCATGAGAGACAGTTGCTCATCCCTGGAACTGCTCAAGAATAACTGGATGCTTGATGGATAGGATTCAATGTAAGACTGGGAGTTGGACCAATTAGATGTCAGGCTTCTTCTCACCTTAAGAAGTTCTGATTTAAAGATAACAGAAATGGCCGGGCGTGGTGGCTCACGCCTGTAATCCTAGCACTCTGGGAGGCCCAGGCGGGTGGATCGCTCAAGGTCAGGCGTTCGAGACCAGCCTGAGCAAGAGCGAGACCCCGTCTCTACTAAAAAATAGAAAGAAATGATCTGGACAACTAAAAAAAATGTATATATAGAAAATATTAGCTGGGCATGGTGGCGCATGCCTGTAGTCCCAGCTACTCAGGAGGCTGAGGCAGTAGGATCGCTTGAGCCCAGGAGTCTGAGGTTGCTGTGAGCTAGGCTGACGCCACGGCACTCACTCTAGCCCGGGCAACAAAGCGAGACTGTGTCTCAAAAAAAAATAAATAAATAAATAAAAAATAAAAAAAAAAAGATAAAGATGATAGAAACGGTCTATTGAGAATATTAAATGTTAAGTTTTGCATAGCTAATAGCCAAATCCTTAGACGCAGCTATGGATCTTTCCTTACAACAAATATAAACTTACAGGCTACATGCCTGTAAGTCATCAAGTTTGAAGCAAAGAGCTTTGAAATTCAACTAAATGAATCAAAATGATACACAGGGACCCTCCTTTCTATCTAATACCAAGATAAAGTCAGACTGCAGACTGTAAGCTCCAACTGTGCCAGAGCAATTAGGAACTCTCACCCACTCAGACATTTGGATGATAGCTAGGGACCGACGCACCATCAAGAATTTCCTCATGAATGCATCCAGCTTACTCAAGGCAATAGCACATTCTGCTAAATTTCCCCTCAGAACAGGCCTCAATAAATTATATAAACATATTATTTCACTCTTATTATAAATTTATCTTTTAGAAATTCTATTCAAGTTTGTATATACTTGAAGAAAACAGTAATGACTGCTATAACCTCAACCTGTATTCCCATTAGAGATTGTCAAAATGTGTAATAATCATCTTGAAGTTTAGAGGACAAGGGCTCTTTCGTGATATTTTAGTTAATATAAGCTTAAGCACAGCTTTAATGTATACCATTCATTGTTCCATGTAAAGGAACTCTTAAATAAATGTTTTTAAATCAACTTCCAGAAATAGATGGTATGGGGTAGGGGGGGAGGTAAATTGAGAAAAGTGTGTACCTAATAGACTATCTCTTTAAAAGAAAATTTATTTTCTAAGATCTACTAAATTTAGGACTTAAACAAATATGTCTTATATTTATGGTATTCTAATTATTCACTTACTTTTAGTAATTAAAAAAAATAGAACTTAGCACTGCCTAAATACAACAATGATCCTTCGTAACTATAATGTTCCTTAAAAAAGGTACTTTTTATGGTCACCTCATGTCACAATTCCTAAGGAGCCAAGAACTATACTTTGTGAATATAAAGTTCTTTTGTCTGAAACCATCTAAAATCAAATATTATTAAGAATGTATTTGAAGGCCCCAAAGAGGATTTCTTTTGCATATTTTAGTCACTTTTCCTAAATTTGCATATTTTAAGCTAATAAACTATTCCTTAATAATTAAAATTATTTTGTTTTAAAAACATGTTTGGAATCCTATAGTTCTAGCTTATTTTCCATTCATTGGTACCATAAAATTTTTATTTTAAACACATGACTAAATCTATAGGTAATTTTTTTAAATAGAAGGAATATAATTCAATGATCCAATCTTAATAATCCCTTCCTTTTGTCATACTAAATATGGACTTTAATAAGAAACACTTAGTATGAAAGCCCAACTCTGCAGTCTCCCCCTATGGTTTTTAGTCAAGAAAGAGTCATAAACGTACTACACCTGCAGTCAAATGAATAAAATACTTAAAGTCAAGACAAATGATTCCATGTCAACTCCTCTATTTAAAATTCTGATAACTGGTAATAGCAGAGGCAAGTACAATTAGGCAATAGTTCTACATCCTAAAACAAACACACATATAACATGCTGCCTGTGAGAAGCATAAACATTAATGTTTTATGTACATATATGCATATACGATATATACACAAATATTTAATTTATAGATTCTATTAATATTAACTGAGAACCCTAAAACTCCTTGGAATACAGGAAAATGAAGCAAATGACAAGAAAAACTCCTTACCTGGTAGATATCAGAAAGACTGCTGCTTCCAGAGTCACTAGTGATACTACATCCTGAATGGCTGGAAGAAACGTGGGTCACCTGTGGGTGGAGACTGTCAGTAAGGTGCAGTTTTGTGAAATCTGCAGGAAGCTATGGAAGGAGCAGGAAAAACTAGGATTACAATTTGAATCGAGATCTCCAAGAAGACATTTTAAAATTAAAATATTATATTCTGTTTCATACCACTAAGCCAAAAACGTTATTAGGTAAGAGGCTTCATTTTGCAAATTCACAAATTACTAAATATTATCCTATTTACCAAAAATCACATAATTTTTTTTTTTTGAGACAGACTCTCGCTCTGTTGCCCCAGGTAGAGTGCAGTGACGTCATCACAGCTCACTGCAACCTCAAACTCCTGGGCTCAAGCGATCCTCCTGCCTCAGCCTCCTGAGTAGCTGGGACTACAGGTACATGCCACTGCTCCTGGCTAATCTTTCTATTTTTAGTGGAGACAGGGTCTTGCTCTTGCTCAGGCTGGTCTTGAACTCCTAAGCTCAAGCTATCCTCCCGCCTGGTACTCCCAGACTGCTTGGATTAGAGGCATGAGCCATTGTGCCCAGCCATAAATTTTTAAAGTTTATGGGCATACAATGAACCTTAAATAATACTAAATTTGATGCTTAAATAAGTAGGTTTAGTGATTAAGGAGAATTTGGATGAACATTTAATTTAGTAAGCTACAATTTTCAAATTACACATCAATGAGCAAATTAGTCTACTACTATCAATATTTATTACTAGTCACAAATGCAACGTTATGGCAAGAAACAATTTAAATGAGAAATCAGATCTGAGGTTCTTTTATGCCCAAATGATGTTTAAAGGTTAAAAAAAAAAGAGCATCTTAGAGTCGATTAAGTGTATTGTCATACAAGTAATTACACTAAGCTCTATGGAGAAAGAGAAAACAATGCCAACAAATAACTGAGAATTGAGAAAGTTATGGACAACATTTACCTATCTACTTGTTCATGTTCAAATAAAAATAGCCTCTGTTAAAATAAACAGATTTGCTAAGCATCCCTCAAGTTCTGAAGTCTACTACCCCTCATATATCAGACAAAATGCATTCACAAAAAAGGAAAACATTCACACATTCGTTCATTCAACAAATATTTACTGAGACCCTTTTCTCTCATTATGTCCTAGTCAGCAAGTAAAACTCTAAGAAAACACTGCCCTTAAGAACCTTACACTCTTATCAGTTACCACAAAGTCTTCTGAACTTAAAAAGACACTATATTTATCTATAATAAATATCAGACTTAAATAAATATCACACTTAAATACTATTGGCCAGTAATACATATGACAGTTAAAAAGATATGCTAACTAGCATCATGAAATACTGATAACATTCTCTCTTTTGTGCCTGCATACTGATCCTATTTAGCTGGTGAATAATAATAAAAAGACTAACTGTTAAAACTTAAATAAAGATTTATCTTAGTTACATTCCCATCTACCCTGTGATCCTTATCCCCTCTCTAGAATAAGCCTCCTGAGGGAGATGATTCCGGTTTATGACAATGATCAATAGGTTTTGATGCTTCAAAGCTTCAAACAAACAGGCAAAATGTATTTTGTTTGTTTGTTTATTTATTTTTGAGATAAAGGCTGGCTCTGTTGCCCCAGGTAGAGTGTGGTGGCATCATCCAAGCTCTCTGCAACCTCAAACTCCTGAGCTCAAGCCATCCTCCTGCTTCAGCCTCCCAAGTAGCTGTGACAACAGGTGTGCACCACGATGCCTGGATAATTTTTCTATTTTTAGTAGAGACAGGATCTCACTCTTGCTAACGCTGGTCTCAAACTCCTGAGCTCAAGCGATCCTCCCGCCTCGGCCTCCCAGAGTGCTAGGATTATAGGTGTGAGCCACCGGACCCAGCAAAATATATTTATATCCCTTATCATTTAGACCTGACTCTCTGAATAAATTACACCCGTCCCTACGTTAAGTGCATGATACTTAACAGTATTTATACACAATATGTTCAGAAATAATATTTTTTAATTTTAAGGATCAAGGTACACACAGGACAGATTTAAACATGAATGTTTTAGGGGACATATGATTAGATGCCAAATAAATGGACATAAACCCACATGTTGGAGGAGCTGAGAAGTGAGATGTTTATTCAAATGTGTGAAATAATTGCAAGCCCATCTCGCTAAGAGTGTTTTTAAAAAATGATAAAGATATTATGAAATATTAATATATAAAATTTAGGAGAATAATGATTTCTCTGTAAGGAGTAGACAGACAAATCCTTCTAAATTCAGAATTTCTATGTTTTATTCATAATGTGGAATAGTGGATTAATTGAAGAATTTATTTATAAACAGTTTGAAGACAGAAGTTTGTAGAAATGCATTCGTGACTATGATTTTAAATGTAGCTAAGCGACAGTTATCAGATAGTAAAATAAATAACATGTTCATAGCCAGGATAAATACCCTTCATCATTCTAGCTACATTTCCATTTAATTCAGTCATTTACCACAGAAGGCAACTAGGGAAACATTACTCTATGGCTCAGGGATTTTAAAAGGCATCAATCGATACATGTAATTACAGAATAATAAACTTATTTTTATTGATTATCTTTTACAGACATGACTCAGACTGACATGTCACACTGTGTGATTTTTTTTTAAAAATTAACTTAGTACGTCAAATGAAGATATAATTATCTAATTAATTTTTACTTTTTATTTATTCAAGTCTTACAGGACTTTCTTCTTACAATTCATTATCTGATCATCTTTCCTGACTAAGAACTCACATGCAGACAATGCTGGGAGCTGAAAGAGCTCCAAACCTAATAGAAGAGACATGCGTCCAGCCTTTATACACCAATTCTTTGGAATTGAGAAAGTTATGGACAACAATCTCTATACACATATATAAATATCAATTTTCTACTTGTTCATGTATAAATAAAAATATCCTTCAATTACAATAAACACATTTGCTAAGCATCCCTCAAGTTCTGAAGTGTATTCATCTATGCCTACTTATAGCCACAAATATCAGAATTATGTGGTAATTGTTGGCCCAGAACCATAAAGACTCAAAAGAGAAATATTTTTACTCTTAAAAATTCAATTCTATTGAATAAAGACTTATTGAGTACCTGCTAAGTCAGACACCCTGTTAGGAGCAGGGAATATCAAGGTGAATAAGACATTCCTAATTCCACATGGAACTTCTACTACCGCAAAGTCACTGTGATAGGTGTTACAAGCAATAGAAAAATGAATTAAACATAGTTTGTTTGTGTTTTTGAGACAAGGTCTCACTATGTTGCCCAGGCTGGTCTTGAATGCCTGGGCTCAAGCAATCGTCCTGCCTCAGCCTCCCAAATAGCTGGGACTACAGGTGCGTGCCACCATGCCTGGTTTAAATACAGTTTTATAAACATTGTTTTTATCTCTTTCCCCTGCCATCTGTGCTCTTTGTGGAATAGCATTAAAAAATAATATATTAAACTTACATTAAATGCATATATAATTTAACATTAACTAAATACCTCTTTATATATGTACAAATAAATGCTATATTTAAGGAACCTTAAAATCTTTTCCCACAAACTGGGATAACAATACTATTATTAAATTTTATTGACAATCCACATCAGTCAGGTTATGGAATGGGAAAAGTTATAAAAGGTGTTCCCATAAGAGAAGAGTCTGAAATGCACTGATTTGGCCCTGCCACAACACTCTTAATAGAGACCTGAGCCCATGTCTAGGAAAAATGGAGTTTTTAAGAGGCAAAGAAACCATATGGGGGTTGGGCAGCAGGAGGCAGACAAAAGTGCAGGCACCCACATTTAAACGTGAGTGCTAACACAAAGTAGGCATAAACCTAAAATTAATCAGTTTCATAAAAGCTTGGTACCATTTGTATAACAGCTTGTTTTGTTTTATTTTATGGAACAAACAAGGACACTACAGTAATCAGCTTTTAAAAAGGAAGTTCTACACATGACTTAAATCCCATATATAAACAGGCATTTGAATAGAAGTGGAGATAGTGGGCAACCTTGTCTGGTTCCAGTTCTAAGTGGGAATGCTTTCAATTTTTCCCCATTCAGTATGATGCTGGCTGTGGGTTTGTCATAAATGGCTTTTTGTATCATTTTTAGGTAAGCCCCATCTATGCCTATTTTGTTAAGCGTTCTTATCATAAAAGGGTGTTGAATTTTGTCAAATGCTTTTTCTGCA